GGACATAGCACCGTCATGTTTCAATTGGTTTTGCATGCATCTATCAGTGAAAGCACAAACATTTAGGGAATTTATTGTCAACTTGAGATGCTTATAAAGTAAGATGTCTTCAGAACATTGGGTTCAGGAATCTAAAATGGCTTGAAGGAGTGAAAGTCTCTTGGTGGATTTACTTAGTATGATATTTGCATCAACAGTCTATGGCATGGGTCTGAACTGGGCCAAATTCTGATATTTGAAGATGTTAATAGGAAGACATGTTAGAACATATGTACCAGACTAACAGCATTGTCTACTCCATGACATCAAAGTCACAGATGAATTGGAAGAAACAAAGTGAGATGTCCTGTAGCTAGTGTATTGCAGAAGATAAGTCCAGTTTTGCTTCTGTTGAAGTAAATAATTAAACATCATTTTCAGGAGTGGAGCATCAGGTGTTCTAGATTAACGGTTCTTCTTTGTCTGGAAGCTTAATTCGTGCTTGTCCCAACAGGTCTTTTGGAATTAAGGTGGGATTTTTGTTGGGGTCTCTTGATATTGGTAAGAAAATGTATCTAAAACAGAGAGGATTGGTTAACATAATAAGAAACATATAAGTATGACATAAAGCCATAAATTCAATGGAATTTAATGGACATAAATTCCTGGAATGCAAGCAGAACTGCTATCGGCAGTAGGGTTTTGTTGGTTTGTTTTTTGGGGTTGATTTTTTTGTTTGTTTGGGATTTGTTTGATTGGTTTGTTTTGGTTGGTTTTTGGTTTTTTTTAATGAGAGTAGTAGAGCATATTAAAAGTCTGTGCTTCAGTCAACAATCCTTGACAAATCAATGCTATGTACATGGAATACATCAATGTCTATCATGATGTAAGAACACTGCCTTGAGAAATTCATTGCTTCAAAGAAAGAGGCATTATTTTACTGGTACGTCAGAATTGACTGGTGGCCTGCAAGAGCATAAATCAGAATTCATTATCTGAATTTTTTACTGTCACGTGAAAACATTCAGTGCTTTTCTTAGCATTAGACTGAACAGACAAACTCTGAGCTGTCATAACCTCTCTAAAGATGAACCAGGACTTTTTCCAGCTTTGCACCTTATACTTCTTGAATTACTCCTGGGAAATTACTACATGTTTTATAATGGAGGAAGGAGACAAAAGTGACTGGATCATATAAAACAATGTAGCACATAATCTGATTACATGAGCCTTCTCTGCATCTGAAGTTTCACTGCATTTAATAGGAGTTTTGCAAAAGAAGAGCTCTGTCCTTAAAGTGAATGGTGTGTGAGTCTTGTAGGAGATGTTTGTAAGATGATTCCACACCCTCTCATCCTAAGACATTAAGCAGTCTTGCACAGTTTCTAGAATACTTGGCATTAGTGCCCCTTTGCCTCCCCTCAACCCTTCCTCCCCAAAAAGAAAGGAAGTAAATAGTTACAAACAACGTCCTATTTAAAAACATTACCTTGTTACCGGGCTATGTTCTTTTTTAGCTGAAATAGATACCCTTTTTCCCCTTCCCTTTTTGATGAAACTTGTCTATAAAAAAAAAACCACAAAGGATTTAGCTTAGTGCAGCATTATTATTAATATGGAAAACATCTGTTCTGTGCTATGCTATACTACACTTGTGATCTTTATCTCACTTTTAAGTATTTTCGTGTATTGTTACAGCAATGCATGAAGATTGCAGCTGTGTGAATTTATTTTGGTGAATTGCTGATTTGAGAAAAATGTAAGGGTTTTTCGTTTGTTTTGTAGGTAGGTTTTTTTTACTACACAGGACATACTTAATGAAAATTGCTGTAGGGTCTTCACATACCCTATTCATGTAGAGAATAGCAGAGAATTAACATTAAATCAAAGAAATACAGTGCACAGTCATGCATTAAAATAATAAACTTCTATTAGCACAAGTGAGATTGTTTCATTTACGTGAATTTCCAGGCTATCGCTGCACAAAGATAGGTGTACAGTGTAAATCTAAGAAGATTTGAGAAGTTTCACAGTATTCTTGTCTTCCATCACATAAGCAGTCATCAGCTTGGCTTTTCTTTCTCTCTTTTTCTCAGTGAATTACCTCATTGCTGCTCAATAAAATCACTGAACTGCTCAGCTGTATCATCACTAGTTGGTCTAGCAAAGAATACAAAGAAGGAGAAAAGATGCAGTGTTCCAGACCCTGTAACTGAATTGACTTCTCAATGAAATCCTTTTTTGCTAAGACTGATTCTTTCCGATGTTACAGAGAAACATCTGAACCTTTGAAAACCTTTTTTTTATCCTTAAAATGCATTATAGCACTCATTGTTTGTATTTATTTTAATAACATCCTTATTTATGAACAAATACTCCTCTGCAAAACATGCATCAATTATTGAACAATATATACACACACAGAGTTTAGTACTAAAATTACTGTATGATTTATTGTTGTTTTTTTTTTAATTAAGACCCTCAATAAGGAATGTGGACAATCAGGAAGATTGCCAGATGGCACGTAAACTTGCTCACAACTCAAAAATTCCCATCCAAGTTACGGATATTGGGAACCAGGGAGCTTCTCAAAGCCCAATTGCTTTAGTGAGAAGAAAGTGCAGTATCTACACTGTAAATTTGAGGCATCCAGAAGAAACTGAAATCATTCAATTCTGAGGCAGAAGTGCAGTAATCAAAGTTAAATCAAACACTGCAGTTATTCTTTGGATTTGGTAGATGGGGTTATACTTCTCTGTCTAGTTGGAATATTAACAGCTTTTTGTAGCTTGCCATGGACAAATTCCATCCAATGCTGAATTAGATCAATGAAAATTCTTTGAGAAAAATTAACAATTGTATATGATGTAGGTTTGTTTTTTTTCTTAAAATCTGCATGTTAGCATGCACATTACTGCTATTGGTCTAACAGCATGTAACAATAAACCAATACTGCATAATATTCTGCCTACTTGTCTGTTAGCTACAACTATAGGTACCTCTGTAATCCACGTTTCTTCACAAAGTTTCATTTAATTTTCTCTTGAGAGAAAAATGTTGGTAGTTGACTAAAAATGAAAAAAGGCATGTTTTTGATATACAGATTAAAATAGAAAAGGTATGATAGAGGGCAGCTTATGTCATCACTCTATTGAAACAGTCTTAGTCGTCAGAGAGCCAAAAGTTAATCAAGCAGAGAACAGTTGAAAACCTCATTTAAAGAAATCACATCTGTTTAGGGGAAAAAAAACCTGAGGCATGTGCTTCAATTTCATTTAAACTATAATCCATCCAGTGGTTTACATCTGTTAAAAAATATGGAACTTTTCACACCTCTTTAAAGCACAATTATACTGTATTTATTTTAATACATAATGTGTTCTGAGTATGTGATACCTTTTCTGAAATGACTCATAGATGATTGATTTCATAATTCTTTATCGTGTAGCCTTCCAAGTCCTTTGAATTAGTTCGTATATTAACCGCAGATGAAATTTAAAGAAAAAGTTGTAGAAACAGTGTAAATCAATGCCAGAAATTTCAGTGGAACTGTCAATTTATACCACCAAGCCAACGAATTTTGGGAGGGAGGAAAGTCTTCTTAAGCAGTAAAAGAAAACATTACAGATAAGAAGTTCTAGTTCAAGGACTTCAGTCACAAAAATTTCATTTAGGTTTAGCCTTGCTGTTCTTGGATGTTGCTTATTAAAATGGGTGTCTCCCACAAAGAGTGTTGTTAACATGGCATAATCCTGACAGTCTGACCATACTGCCCGGAGTTTGAAGCAGTAGTGTCTGTGAACTATAGAGGACAACCAGAAATATTTCAGGTAATGATTCAGGAGGTTGTATCTCGCTCTTTTGTGTATGAAGAGGAGCCTGGTACTCCACTGTGTATCTATAATGACTACTTGTGTATTTTAAATTCTAATTGAACATTGCCTCTTCTGATTTTAAAGTTCTCTGTGACTTTACCCCTTCTGATGTCGGGATTTAAAGTCTGCCTTTCTGCACTTTCTGCTCCACTCAGATCCTTTAACATCAGGTTTCTTTTGTAAACATAAATATATGAAAATACATGTGTATACATTATCTGAAAGATATTTTAATTAGATGATCACATACTGTATACCATAAGCCCCATGCATAGTCACTGCATAGAATCGTTGGTGCTCATTTAATAGCAGCTGGTCAATGTTTTGCTTGTTTACCTTTCAGCTAGAACCTAACAAAACTATAAACAACTGAAAATTGGGCTTTATGGATACATTAGATATACAGAACTTGCCTATTTTATGTTAGCAAAAAATATACAGATTATCCCTAAAGAATGTCCTCACTGTAAACCAGAAGAATTCATTTACAGTCTAACTGAGCTACACTATTCCAGTGTGATCCTGGGCAAAAAATTCTCTGAGAGCCTCAGCTGTCTTCCTGCAAAATGGGAATGATTTTACAGTAGTAGAAAATCCAGTTGTTATTATGAGTTGCTCAAATATTACAGCAATATAGTGGGTGTAAGTATGCACATTATGGTCTCTTTCAATGTGATATATGTATCCATTTCACATTTTCTGGGTTTAGCAGAGCACTTTTAGTTTAGCAATATTTTTTCATTGCTAAGTGAATAGATGATGAAAAAAATCAGAGGAGGAGCATACACTCAAAAAATGATTTTTCTCTTCGACATGCCCTATGTCAAATGGAGCTATCGGACAGCATCTCTTGATGACAAGTTTTTTATAAATGAATCAGAGAAATAAAGATTGAAAAAATATGCAGCACTGTTTGAAGTGGAAATGATACTGAATATTTTTCAAGGAACCCCTTGTAACAGGGTGATAATATATATATAAATAAAAATCCTCTCAAATGTCTTTTCATATTATTGTACAAGTAACTGTGTGTGTTTTCTTCCTGATTTTTGAGTTGTTCCATTCTTTAGTGATTCTACAGGTGAAGTACCTTTATTGCTACAAAATTTAATCGTGTGTTCATCCAGTCATTCTGTCCTGTTGCAGAGGATCTTGATGATCTAAGAATGGAAGGAGTAACAAGTGTGATGTCTTCTGGGAGCAAATTCAATCAAACTCGAAGTGCTCATACGGCTGAGCCTCAAGCAAAGGTCACATTGAATATCTGCGCAAGATGTGCCAGGTAAAAAGCAAAACAAAACCAGATCGTGCTAACCAATACATTCTTTTCCCCGGGTTTTCAGCTATGCATTGTGTTTATGGGCCAGGTGATGACCTCTCCTGTGCTAAAGAAAAAATAATTACTTAGCTACTGGCTACCCTATGACCTCTGGCATTTGCGTTGTGCAACTTATGTTTATGCTTGATATGTCGCATCAACAATGAATCAAAGAACGTAGTTAGTCTTAGGCCTTACTTCACAGCTTGAAACTATTTTAAGCCTTTCTGTCTCTGCATTTCATTAGTTATTTGAGCTTCTGTGGTTTTTCAGGGGATGAATCAGGGAATTTAAAGGTTCAAATCCAATTTGAAAAGCACCTGTATAAATGGAGATTTAGTTGCACAGGTGCAGTTCAGGATTTCAAATAGTTGCTTCTTAGCACTTTATAATCTCATCCTGTTTCACCTCTGAGAAATAATTTAATCAGGTTGAACCCCTTTTGGTTTTGACAGCTGGAAATAATTCTTGCATTTACAGTATGAGGGCCAAATAAACAAGTTGGTATTCCTGTAGCCGAGTCAACTTGAGAATGCAACACTAACAGAAACCCCTTAAATTTCCTAGATGCATTCTTCTACGTAGACAAAAGCTCATTTGGAGAAAGGATTTAAGCCTGTTTAAATGACAAAACTAGCCTTCTCACCCTTCTGTTAATGGTTCAGATTAGCAAGAACAATACAGAGGCATGCCAATTTTATCTGCTTGCCTTTGCCAATGGCTGCTCTATTGTGTAGCTTGAGAGGGGATTAGCCGCTTGTAAATAAAAAGCAACCTGTGGTGAAATTAAGTCAAAAGTTTGGCCATATGCCACCCTACGTTTCTACTTTTTTCCCATTTTGCTTGTAAATTACTACTTTTAAAAGGCACTTATGTAGGAAGAGGGGCTTCAAAACATTTTCTGATGCTCTGGGAGCGTAACTACAGGCATAGTGAATAACCCATGCAATAGTATCTCTTTAACAGGGCTGTGGAGCCTCGGGGAAGTTCAGCTCACGGTACTGTCAGAGCAGCAGTGACTGGATGGCCGTGTAATTCTAGAGAGTTTTGCTGTCAGCAGAGTGGCCTTTATGCTTTAAGAAAAGAGCAAACATGCTAGTCATGGGATTCTTCCCAATTCACTAGATACAAATTGCTTATGTTTTAAAGTGTTTCCAAGCAACTAGCTACGTGAAAGTGTGGCACCTTTTTTCAACTGGCATCGGTTGTCCATGGATTAACAAGTAGAAAGGTAACGAAAATAGAAATGTTGAATTTTCTACATGGTCTTTTCGAACTTACATAAAATCTTGTATGGATTACTATGAAGGTTAATTAAATTTTAAATTCCCTAAAGTAGCTGCTAACAGCAGGTGCCAAGATACTATATATTCTCTCAATCCTGCACACCAGGGAACAAATGGCTCAGATCTTGAGCCAAACCTAGCAACCTTGGCTATTGCTGTTGTCCTTTAACTGACTGTACTATATGACTCTGCAGTCTAAAATACGAGTTGTGAGAGAAAGATCTCATAAAATCCCCTTTTGTCACTTCACTTATCAGAGAATGCAAAGCAGTGCTTTATTTTGCCTGTACACCTTCATTTCATTCCCTACCCTGTTTAATGAAGTTGGTGAGGAACTGGATGATACCTACTTGGCTGTGGTTCTTTTCACTCTTGTTGCAGTTTAGCAGTTTCTTTAAACTTTGGAGGAATTAAAAAAATAAACCATCTCATCAGTAGCAAGGGAAGTAAAAAGAGAGAAATGGGTATTACTGTGGTATTCAGTAGTGGGGAAACTAGCATTTATTCTTCAAGATGAGGAAGTCCATCTGTTCTTTGGGAGTGTTCCTTCTTACTGAGTCTGAGGACATCTTTCCTCTCTTACCTCAAAACAGAGTTATTAGTGCAGTTAGCTCTCTCTTTCAATACCTCCACAGTGGATTTGTCCAGTGCCTTCTTGTAGCAGCTGAAGTAGTGGGGAGAGAGAGTTACATGAAGCAAGTGGCTTCAAGGACATGAAGATAGATTTTTTTTTTTTTTTTTTTTCCCCTCCCCTCCCCTGTTTGGTTCCAAGAGCAATTCAATTTTCTGTTACTCAGTGATATAGCCATTGAAAATACTGTGCGATAAAATCACAGCCTGAGTATTTGGGTCATCCCTACGGAAGTTTCTCAGTGTTGGCATTTATCTCTGTTGTTATGACAAAGCCTAGTATTTATTGTAAGGTCATAATACAGGACCTATTAGTATATTTATTTGTTTTAGAAATTATATTTTTATTTTTTCATATTCTTTTCTCTAGGAATTCTTGTGTGCTGTACAGTTTATATATAAATACTATGGGATTTGATTGTAGGCACATTTGAATACAATTGAAAAAGAAGTCAGTATAAGCTGTTCTTATGCATACTTTTGGTTACAATTAAACAGGTGTCTTTCCTCTTAATTTTACCCATTTTTTGGTTGTGTAAAGTGATTTGAAATGAATGGAGCTATTATTGGCAGTGGGTGTTCTGTAGATAACAGGGCTTGTCAAATCAGATTACCAAATCAGGTTTGCTGAAGATATTTTGGCTGTGTGTAGGAGGAATATGACTTTTTACTTGAAATTTGATTGGCGGAGTTCCAAATGTTAGGAAACGTGCTTCTTGGCTCAGACAAAAAGTTTAATTTTACTCTTGCATTTGCATAATCTAGATCTTTCACCTTGCTGTATTTTTTTTTTAAAAATGCTCTGACTCTCCAGTCAATTTACCTTCTGTGATACCTCCTCCAGAAGGTTCCTCACTTCCTTGGACATGTTGGGGCTCTTCTGAGAGGGATTTATTTAAACAACTGAAGGATTTCCTCAGCACTAGCTTTAACTTAATTTGGCTTAATTTTTTGGGTCTCACTTGGAAAGGACAAATAGTTTTATCGAAGTTCCACCCTACTTCATTAAAATCCGTGTGTAAGTTTTAGACCCTCCTGTTACTAGGATTACATTTTCTTGCCTTAGATCATTAGAGCTTCCTCATTATTTGAGAATTAGAGAGAACAGGTCTGTGGCTATGTGTACGTTACTTTAGCCTGAGAGGAGTGCTGGTTTAATTCTGTATGCCCACTGAGAACACCTGCAGTAGGGCACGGTGCAGCAATATGTCTTATCTCTTCTGTGTCTTCTATAGCTTCCTACAAATGGGCTAAACATGGGAGTACAGTGGCTTGTGAGAAGAATGGACTGAACCAACTGTTTCCCCCATGCTGAGATATTTGTCATCAGACTACACTTAGCTCCAATTTAGCTCCTTCCCGTTGTACCACTCAAATATATGAGAAAATCAGGACCCAAATTCTAGAATGTAATAACAGGAGGACAATACTAGCAGCTTCTGATTCCCTCTTTCTCTGTCAGTATAGCCTTATTCCTTTGCTAGTAACTGGCATTTAGTTCAAGGTGGTATTAAATGTCCTGTGTAGCTGGTTTTCTCTGTCACTAGGCTGTTACTCTGCACAGTAATAGTTCTTCCCTTTGAACTCCCCTATTCTATTTCTGTTTAACACAGTGTCAGAGGAAGATCTTAAATAAGAATGCCAAATGGGAGTGACTATAGTTAGAGATAAAAATCTACTCTGTTACAAGGCAAATTAAATCCGGTTTATATTGGGGGGGAAACCTGCAATGCTGTTGAGGTGCTGCATTTGGCACAACATTCTCCCTTGCCTTAAGTCTCTTAGACAAAAGTACGAGCTTCTTCATGAATCATAAGAAATGAGACTGAGAATGGACATAATTTGAACTAGAATAAAACACCCAAACTTTTAATTTTTTTTTTTTAGAAACTGGTATCTAACCTTCAGTGCTGATAATTTCACCGATAATCTTCAAATAATAGATAAAGTTATCACAGCCCAGGTCAGTAATTTTAATAAAAGGTAAAGTTCTCCACCCAGACGTCTAGGAGGTGGAGATGGGGGATTCTTTCAAGCTATCACACCAAGTTGGTTTATACAGCTTATGATTAACACCCCCCCCCAAATCCCCCCCAAACCAACCAAACAAAAAAAACCCCAAAACCCCAAAAAAACAGAGAGAGAGAAAGAGAGATAAAAGGAGGGGTTAATTCTCCTGGAGTATAAATTGGTTTGTAGACTGGAATATAGCTGTAAGAAACAGAGAGCTTACTGTGTTTTCTGTATAGATGTTTCACACACGATGAGCGAAATGCAGATGGATAACAGCTTTAAGAGGTTTTTCAAATGGGAAAGTAGCTACAGAACAATGTTATTCCCATAGCTGCTCTTGGACTACAGTGCAAGTTAAGCAGCATATTAAGTCATCTAAATAAAGGGGTGACATCATTCACAAGGTGGAACAAAACAAGGTTTATAGATACAGAAAAAAAGGCTACAAACCCCCCTGTATCTAGAAGGTTTGCTTTTTGCTATTTAGTCTGGAAAATTAGCAAAGACACTTTCAGTACAACTGATCTGGATTTAGATCATTTGAGCAAAATTATTATAATAAAAATTCCTTCTTTATCTAAGGGCACAACTAGTCTGATTGACTTAGAGAATAGACTGACTCATTCTGTAACACGAGTTTGTGAATCCTTCTCATATACAGGCAAAACAAATGAATTTCATGTTTGACTGATGAATCATAAGACACCTTCACACATAAGCAAAACTCATATGGGTTAAATAAAGATCTAAATGACAATTTGTAAAAGCCAAACAACACTTCCATATTTTCTCATGTATTGTGACTTGCACATTGAGAGTTTTGCAAGAATTTAATCAGGCATAAAGTATAAGATAATATTAATGTACTATTGAATGAATTTTAGGGTTGTTTTTTTTCTCTTTTTTTTTTTTTTTTTTTTTTTTGTAAGGACCACCCATTAGCCTTGTATGTCCACTGCCATGCTCAAAAGTTAAATCTTGTTCTTGTGGAGTCTTGCCAATGCATTCCTGGAAGTAAGAAGCTTTTTGTTTTTA